ACAATTGCACTGGCTGCCTGTGTATTATAGGGTCGTTTTTAAGATCCTTTTAATCACGTATAAAACGCTAAACGGTGAAGGTCCAGAGTATTTACGTAGTCTCTTGGTGTGGCATGTGCCATCACGAAATCTTCGTTCAGGTGATACACGATTGCTGGTTGAGCCCAGGTTTATGAGGTCATGGGGTGACAGATCTTTTGTAGTTGCGGCCCCCCCGTTTGTGGAACAGATTACCTCTTGAAATAAGATCAAGTTCGTCGACTGCTTTGTTCAAACGCTGTCTCTTATACACATTATTTTTTGTTGCTCAAGGAAATTAATTTATTGTGAATTGATTTTTTTTTTGTTTTGTTTTTTAATTTGTTTAGTTAGATGCCCACAAAACTGAGAACACCTGTGAGTCATGTACTAGCCGGTCTTTGTACCTTAAATTGCTGGTAAACGGAAGCAGTGATGTGGGTTATGGTCGTTTTTCTGGTAGCCTTTAGTTTAAAAGGATAAGCTTTTTCATGGTTTTCACAAGCGCCTTGAGCACTTTAGTGGAGATGTGCGCTTAATAAATCTTATTATTATTATTATTATTATTATCTGTTTTGAAAGGTGGAGGGGGGACATTTTGTAAGTCAACACCCACCCCAGCCCCACAATGGTTGGAGCTGAGGTGAGAAAATTTGAGGAAATAGTACCCCTAGATGGCCAGAAATGACACTTTAAGTAAAATTCATCATCATCACATCACCATTAGTCAAAATGAAGCGCCAAAAGAAATTCTCATGATCTTTTATCAGGGATTTTTTTTACAACCATAGAGATCTTATTAATGTGTGTGTATACACCAGAGAAAACAAAGCTTAAAGTCAGGCTCCGGAGGGAAAACAATTTTTGATATGTTGTAGAACTGATTTTTCTAAGACAGAAAAAAGTAGTTTGATCAAAAACTGAGCAACAGTGAATGAGATACAGATTTTTAGATATTTAAAAACTGGGGGAAAAAGGTGTTAAAATGGGCGTTTACGCCCCCTTTTCCCCCAGTTTTTAAATATTCATAAATCAGTTCTACAACATATCAATTTTTTTTCCTCCGGAGTCTGACTTTAAAAAGATTGTCTTTGAGTATGTACTTTACATAGGCCTACTTCAAAAACGTGATTTCACAACCACCTCAGCCTCACCATGGCTGGGGTTGAGGTGAGAAAATTTGAGGAAATAATACCTCTCGAAATGGCCGGAAATGACACTTTTATATAGTAAAATTCATCATCATCACATTACCATTATACTCAAAATGAAACGCCAACAAATTTCTCATGATCTTTTATCAGGGATCTACTTAATATCTAATTATAGCTTACTAAGCTTTAACTATATATACTATATTATGATCAACAAATCACAACCTTTTTTTCAGCATTTAGCACAATTTTCTTCACTTTTTATTGTTATTAATATTAATATCAATTATTACTATTGTCACCATCATCATTGTTAATAATAATAATAATATTATTATTATTATTATTATTATTATTATTACTATTAGTAGTAGTATTATTAAACAAACATTTAAAGAAACTTGCGAAAGGATAAAAATGAAATTGAACCACAGTATCGCATTTCTATCTTAAAAGACCTGGCCTGAGATTTATGGATTTAAGATTTTTTAAAATCACGCTTAGGCTTATGTATTCTATTAGGCCTATGTATAACGTGTACTGATGCATATTTACATGTTTAGAAGTATTTATTTTAAGTGATCCCAGGAAAGAATTTGTATTGGCTCAAGAATCAAGCTCTAAAATTTTAACACTGTGTACAAAGGGGGCCGCGGCTCCCCCCCCCCCGGATACGTCCCTGATCGTAATACTCAGTGTAAACCGGTGGAACCTCTCAAAACGTATAGAACGACGTCCCCGTGTTAACAATCTCAAATAAATTATACCATAAAATGGTTGAACACATTTTTCTACAAAAAGTAATTGCTGCGAAGCAGCCAATTCATATTCTTGACAGCAATTTGACCTCTGAAAGGTCATTCTTTGTCAAAAAACAAGGGCCTATCGACGACTGAAAAGCGGAGTTTCCTTCTTTCGTTCTGCCGGGTAAAATTAATTACTTTAGGCGACGTTTGTAGACTAACCAACACGTACCGACGTCCGCATGTCGCGCTAGACTTATCCTACTCTAGGCCTAGACTAGCTAGGATATGGTATAGGCCTAGCCTTGAAGGGACGAAGGTCCAAATGAAAAACAACGTCGCTCCTTCATAGCTAACATTGTCTATTTAACAATCACAATAATTCATTATTAGACCTATAGTTGTTTTTTGAATTGTACTCCACAAATCTCAGCCGATACCTCGCACAACTCGAGTAAAGTCTCTATCTATTGTCGTGACGTCATGGCTCGCTGTCTCATACTTGCGATGTCTCGCACTTGTGATCAAATAACACCCTGGCTCGCACTTTGGCAACACTCTTTGGCAGTCAACTCGCCCCTAGAAAACCCGCCCTTGGAAACTTGCCCCATAAAAAAAATGTACACTTCCTAGACCATGCAGTCTTCAAAATAAGAATTGTAACCTTTGGTAATCAACTACATTTTCCACATACATAGACATTTTTGAAACTTTATTAAAAAAAAACCTAAACCATAATTCACCACTATAGACACTTTTTGACAAAAATGAAAAATTACGACTTTGTTACCCAATGAGAAGTGTTCTAATATAGATAATGGATCGTGTGTCATATTATTTGTTATAGTTTTATTATTCATTATTTTCACTTGACTCGCATAAATAATTTTGTTCGAAAAACATTTATATGCAGTTGTACTTCGCAGCACTTCACTTGCAATTTGCAATTCTAGGTTGGTAGAGTCATAATAGCGCACCTAAATTTCAAGGGTAACGCGAGACTATAGCCAACAAGCGATGGCGCTCATCCATAGACTTACTCAGAGTAAGGACTTTTTCTATGGCTCTGGACTTACTATACCAGGATCTAGCCAGACCTACCCAACCCAGAGCCCACAGCCGTATATACGGCTTTGTACCTATTATTCATGATAACCTCTAACATACTAAAATCGTATCAAACGTAACCGCGATGATGTACCACATCAACACATAAGGAGCTTAGAAGCAATGCATCCTTACAATTATTTATTACAAAGAAACAAATACACCAACTCGTCAAGCTTGTTTTTAATTCAGTTAATTCAATTTTATTCATAAA